TACTCTATTATTGTTCTATTAGAATATTAAAGCTTAAATGATAAATACTTACACAGGCACATCTACACTTATGTCTGCTTTGTTATTAATAAACTTGTGCTTAAATGGTAAAGTTACTTGTTTCTCCTTTTAGTGTATTAATTATCGTTGGTTGGATTTATAGAGTGTTTACTTTACTGTTTGAATATGTATATAGAGTATATACTTCCGTACACTCACGCAAGCACGTCGCACGCACGCACACATATGTAATTGTTAAAAAATTAAAGGTTATCATTTTTCTAGTGTTTCATTATTATTTAATGGTTAGTAGTTTATTTGTTTTTGCCTTGTGTTATATATTAAGGCATTAATTATAAGAGGTTAGGTTCGTTCGTTTGCAGTTGTTTGTGCGTGTGTATGTATATATTTATATGTACATGCACACACAGACGCGCGTATAAGTTTGTATGTTTAATATTTTTCTTTTTTTTTATTTATTTATTAATAGTTATTTTTAAGTTTATATTATATTTATTTCATTTATTTATTTGATTATTTAAAGTTGATATACATATATATATATATAAATTATATATATATATATATATATATATATATATATATATATATATATATATATATATATTATTTATTTGTTTATTTTTATTGGTGCTTAGATAACAAAGTAAGTATTTATTTATATGCCTACATTTATCCATTATTTCAATTTTCTGCTTTAAGCGTTTATTTTATTTTTTAAAGCTAATTATTGATATTTTTGCTCTAAGCATAATTTACAATTTTTACTGATAATGGGGCTGCTCTTTTCATCATTTTCCATTTGATTTTGCTAGGGATATGTTTTCTTTTTTATGTATTTTGATAGGGTTGTATTGTTTGTGTATTTTTCTTTCAAAAGACATTTTGTGGCTATAATATCTTTCTTTTAAGATTTATTTCTCTGGTATCTATGTAAATTCTTTCGTCTGCTTTAATGTTATTAGTTACGATAGCTTTGTATATTATGTTATTGGTTAAACATTTATTGTTAAGTGGGCAATTTTCTTTGTTTTTGCAGTTACAATTAATGGTGTTATTTTGCTGGATTTTACATTTATTTTTATTGTGCTTAGCTATTATTTACTCCATGTTATCCATGCAGATGTAACTAATTTTGATTGTATTTATATTGATAATTTTTGATAATTGGCTGTTTTTAGGGAAGTGTTTGGCAATTATTTTGAATAATATTTATCCCAATTTTTGCATTTATCGAATGGTTATAGAGGAGTTGCGCTAAATTGTTTCTTTTTCTGTTGTTTTTGTTTGAATTGTTTTTGTTTGAATTGTTTTTTCGTTTCCGTATTCTAGTTTGTTTAAATATCTGCTCTTTCTTAGGGCTGATTCATACGGTTATTTATTTTTCCTTGAATATTTTTAAGTTGCTAGAATTTGTTGAAATTCTTTTATTTATAGATATGGGTATTTGTTTGAATCTGTTAGTTGGCTATTTGAAATTTTTGTTAATGTATTTTGGGTTGTTTAGCTTTCTGCATGGTTTGTATGTTCTGTTGTTTATGTTGAATGTTATATCTAAGAAATTTTGTATTTTGGGGTTGGATTTTATATCTGTTATAAACCTCAGGGTTTTGGAGTTTTTATTATTATTTTTTTCTATTTTTTCTGTCTGTCGTTACAATTTCTTAGAATTAATAGACCGTGGTCCCTGTATATACCTATATCTATTTTTGTGAATAATACTTGTTAATTTATTGATTATATATATGCCTATGAGTTCTCAAAAACGCAAAATCATAGCTAGCCATTGTTACATCAAAGTTATTATTATTATTATTATTATTATTATTATTCTAATTCCTTTGATTTCTGGTGTGTACACATTTCATTTCGGATCTCGCCCAGTGACCGTAAGGTCAGAAATGGCATCATGATATTTTCCACTGAAAAAAAAAACATATTTTACATAGATAAAGCCCTTCGTAAGGTGTGGTCTGTACTCATGAGAAAATTATTTTGTATTTCTTTAAGGCATGGGCTTCCAGGAATCCTTTCAATGAGTCTACCGGAATCTTTTCCATTAATCCGAGCGATCCAACTACAACAGGGATAGTTGATGTTCTTATATGCCACATTTTTGATTTGATAGAGTTTTGAAGATCTTCAAAGATAAATTGCAGTCTGCAGAGACAGCCATATCAATAAGGATTCATTCTTTGCTTACGGCCTCTAATAACAATGTCTGGACAGTTATCTTTGATTGTTCTATGTGTGTAGTGTGTAAAAAAAATGGTTAAAGGCCCTATCTTCGTAACCGGGTCTGGGTGGTGTTCATACCAATTTCTTTCAGTTTCCTTCAGATTTTCCAGTGCAGATATTGGCCCACTCTGTCATGCCGGGTTTTATATTCAGTGGGTGCAAGCAGATACAAGATGATCAATTGTTTCCGGATATTTATCACAGAATCTGCATTTTGGGCTCACAATATTTTAGCATGTGTGCTTGATAATTTCTAGTTAACAAGCATTGGTTCTGTGCAGCAAGAATAAAATCTTCGATTTCAGCTTTTAACCCTGTATAAAGTAACCACTGATGAGTACGGGGTTTGTTTACATTAGCTTGTTTGGTACGGACAGAGTATTAGCCATGAAGCGGTTTATCTTATCATTGTTTCTGTATCTGGTCTGCATGTAGTATCCAGACGTCTTACTTTACACCTATCTGATCACAGCTCCATTTAAACACAAACACAAATTTACCCGACTCCATTAGAAACATACTAGAAGAAAACACAAATATATTAACTGCATCCACCTGCAAAAAAGACTAAAAATAATGGAAGCTTTAATAATAAAAAAGAAAAAGCAACTCTTAACAATATTAATTTCGAACAAAGCCAGAATGTGCTAACCTAAGACATACACAGAACGCACACACTCAATTAAACTGAAACATCGAATCATCCTTGATAATGGCTAAAGGTATAGCCGAAAGCGCTCGGAAATATAAAACATTTGAACAGTTCTTACACAGCCTTTGTCCAGAAAAGAAAGCTCTTGTTCGAACACAAGAAAATTAAATAAAAAGCTTAACCGTAGTACCTTGTCTGTAGTTTTTAATGAAACAAGCATAAAGGAAGTATCGCTGCCTAAATATACAACTATATATATATATATATATATATATATATATATATATATGAAAAATTATCTCAGCCGACGCATTTACTCCTCTTATGGACTTTATCAAGGCAAATGTAAGGATTTTTTAGATGTAAGAAGGCTCATAAATATGTTTCAGGCTAACTAAAAGTCAAGGTAAATTATGGAAGATGCTAAGTGATGTAATTTAATGTCTAATAAACGAAATTGAAAAAATGTTGTTATTGTTGCTACTGTTTATAAAAATAATTATTATTTATATTATTTTACTTTGAGAAATTCATTTATGTATTAGATCTTTGAAATAATATAAGATTTTGAGTTTACCTGTTTCCTTGTAATTTTTTGTAATTTTTATAGTCATCTATGTTGACTAGAAAAGGTCGGAACGCATCGGAAGATAATTTTGTCTTTATTCATATTATCTTTTTACAGGTATATTTTTAGGTATATCTGAATTTTTACACACACACACACACACATATATATATATATATATATATAATTTGCTATATTTATGGATGATGTGAACTCAGGATCAAGGATAAAGTATGTGTACATATAAACATGAAAATAGTGTTGACATTAAAACAGCATGGTGACTGATATTTCCACGCATTAAGCAGTCACTGCTCCTTATTTATATATGGGGTGGGGGTGGTCATTGAAATGTTTTCGACCTACCCATTTTCAAAAAGCTGGCCAAATATCACATTTAAGTTGAGGACGCAGGTCTTGTTCGCACTGATAACTTTGGAAGAATCTCTCGTATATATTATTCAGCAATTTGTTTTGTTTACTTTCTTTTTTTTACTTGAGTTAGTGGTCGAACGAACGCTTTCTTATCGTTAGAAACATCACATTTTCAAAATTACTTTTCTTGGAAAACTTGTAGAGAACATGAAAAATAACGAAAATCGTAAATGATCGTGTTTATCGCTGGTACAAATGCATAGTCAGTGGTGGTAATTAAGTGGGAAAATAGTACATTGTAGTTGGAAATTTGCTCTCTCTCTCTCTCTCTCTCTCTCTCTCATGTAGTTGTAGGAACAAATAGGAGGCATTAATTTCGGAACGACTCTTATATATGTAGATAAGTGCAAAGATCAATAATTGATAAACAGATGGATATGCAAACCAGGAAGCACCAGTGAAATAGATATAATAATTGGTTCCATCTATTGAACATAGGGGATATCGATCGAGCAACAGTCGCATCGACGCGCCATAATTTTACCTGATTTTGAACAGTGTACACACACACACACACACACACACACGTCGAGAATTGATATTCATAACGGTGATCTACAAAAATTCTCCTCGCTCATTCACAAATTCTGACAAGAAACATGAATCAACTCCTGAACTCGTGGTCCGCATGGCTTTACGCATGCGCTGTTGGTTGGCTTTGTCGCGTGGCAATGGGCAAAGGCCAAATCAGATGATCTCACTTGAGACATACGCATGCGCACGTGCGTTCTCGCCTACACTCACTTTCCAACATCCTTCCAAGCGAACAGACACACCCCACACCCATGAGATATTTTACACGAGTTCAGTTATTGGCATTAGATCTTTATCAAAGTAAAGAAAGAACAATTTCCGTATCTTTACAAATATTCCAAGGTTTTCACTCATTGCAATTTATTCAGGAGACTTTCGTTTCTTAATTTCCTTGATTTTTTTTCTTCCGGATCAATTTATTTCTTTTTATTTCATCTTTCTTTCTTCGTATCGCAATGCGTTTTTTAAAAATATTTCTTTTTTTTTCTTCTTCTTTTTTCTTTCTTTTCCTATTCTTATCTTGTGACGCTTTTAGAAGATATTTCTTATCGTATGGGGTTCTTTAAAAATCTTTCTTTTTATTTATCTCTTCTTTTCTTTTTTTCTTTCTTTTATCTCTCTTTCTTTCTTTCTTTCTTCCTTCCTTGTTTGCTTTCTTTCTTTTTGTAATTTTTAATTTTTTATGTCTTTCTTGCTTTGTTTCTTTATAAAATTATGTCTTTCTTTTGCTTATCATTTTGCACTTTACAAAATAGTCTTTATATATATATATATATATATATATATATATATATATATATATATATATATATATATATATATATATGAGAAAAGTTATATACAAATTATATATATATATATAATTTCTTATTTTACGTAGATAAGAGTGGTCAATTTTAAATACTTTTAAACACCTTTTTAATATACATAAAACGTTTCATTTCATTACCCATTTACAACCTGTTTCATGCATAGCAATTTTCAAACTGGTCGAAAGAGACAACCATTTCGTTATGCAAAACCAAGCAGTAAATGGTTAACTAAATAAAAACTTTATATATATATATATATATGTATGTGTGTGTGTGTGTGTGTGTGTGTGTGTGTGTGTGTGTGTGTTGTGTGTGTGTGTGTGTGTGTGTCAATGTATCACCCCCAAGAGGTGTTGTTGTAGTCGTTTCTCTAGTACGTAAGATTCTAAGTTAATAAAAGTCCAAGCGAATTTAAATTCATTGTTGTCCTTTTTTTAACATTAAACTTCTTTCAAAATTCTACAAGCCTCGAGAACCACTTAAGGAAGGCGGTTACTATTAAATTAATAATGATGAATAAGTTTTGTGATATTGAATGAAAGAGGCTGTGGCATGAAGTGAAAAATGAGTATCAGAAGAATAGATACTAATTGATCCTTGATGTGAAGAGGTTAACATTCTACTGTTTAAGGAAGTGACTACGCTGAACCCTGTTTTGCAAAGTAACAGTTCTTAGGGAAATTGGTCTGAGTTGAATTTTTCTCTTTACATTTGGAATACAGATGAAATAAGGGTGATTTGACTTCGTGGAAGTAGTATGGTGCGTCTTGACTGTAATGTTCTGAACTGGTGGCACTAAAGAATGGTACCCATCTAAACATTTGACATAGAAATAATTACATATGAAACAGTCAACTAGTCATTCCCATAGAATTTCTGCGTTGGACCATTAATTCGGTGGAGTGTTGTGGAAATGAAGGAGCGATCAAAAACTACAGCTGCAGAATATGACCCAAAAGGCGAACATCAATACAATACAAGGACGTACTCAACAGATGGCGGAAACGGTGAGAAGCCTGAAATACAGTTTTTTTTCGCATTTTTTGTATAACCTCAATTTGGCTTCATAAAATTATGGTTGTCCTTGATTTGGGAAGAGGGATCGAAAGGTCTACATTTGTCATCTGATGCTATGTCAAATATATCAATAGTGAACCAGAAACTTTCTTCGTGGAAATAATAAAAAGCAGATAATGTTGATTATGTTGAAATATGAAATTGTAATTCAGAAGAGAAATAAATTTACTTCATTTTCGATAACAATTTTATCTTCCGAGTCTAAAATTTGCTCTATAACCTTACTTATAAATCAAGTCTTTTCTTATTACTATAAACATATAATATAAATTTTAGTGGGTATACGTGTTTGATTTGGCATCCGTCTTAATTTTCTTAAATAGTGAAATAACAACCACCGTAGATTGAGTGGCCTTACTAAAGAAAAGTGTGCCTTCGAACGAGAATAGAAACTGTATCCACATTTTTTATTATAGAAGCGGTTTCCCTGGTAGAAAAAAGGATACAGCTTCCATTCCCGTCGGGGGCACAACTTTTCTTTAGTAGGACTTTTCGATCTAGGGTGGTTAATACATATAGAAAATATGTGTAACCACTAAAAATAACGATTATAGCAATAAAATATAATGTCAGATTTAAAAAAAATTATTTATAAATGTCTGTTTTTTACAACAATATATACTTATATATTTAATAATAATAATATATATATATATATATATATATATATATATATATATATAGTTTATTCAAATTTAGGTAATCCGTATGGGTAGACCTGAGGAGGATGATATCCAGAGAGCTCAATGTAAGATTCAGAGCATATATGTTTGAATAAAAGACAGACTACGTTAAGATTCCATGTAATAAGCTATTTCACCATAACCCCTTTAACAGGGTTCTGGATCATCAGACTTTACTTCCAAAAGCTGAATATATATATATATATATATATATATATATATATATATATATATATATATATATATATATATATATTCAGTTGCTGTTCAGTTACTGCTGTAGAGAGCGTGATAATTTATAACATAACGTCACCGCACATAGAAATAAAAAAAAAAACACGTTTCTTCACAAAAACGCTCTGAGAAAGTAAGTTGATTTAAAACCATTGAAAGTCAAATTGTCTCTAACTGTATTCTCCAAGAAGATGGTCAAGTGGCGAAATTGCCTTGGTTTTATCTAACAAATATGTCAAATAGACACACACAGTTGCTTCATGTTTCAAGAACACACGCAAAAATATCTTACACACGGACATTCTATCATTCCGATAACTTTTGCCGCCTTGGCACCACCCTCACGTCTTATCGATCGATTGAGACATTAGCAACGCTGTGGAGGAACTTCTGCTGTCTCCTAGTCTATGAATGAATTGTCAGTACCGCCCTTTTACCCCCCAGTCCTCTCTATCGCCCTTTCCCGACCACAGCAACACGCGACGAGGCATGTGTGTTTGCGCTACGCCTTGTCATTGACGTATCAACAACAAATGACGCTGATTATCGCCTGTTTCCATCAGACCAGCGACATCACTCACCCGGACTTGGGTCCGTCGACCTTTTCTTGAAGTCGGTCATTACTTTTGGTGATGATTTAAAAGAACAGTCATACAGACTCCCTTTCTCTCGCTCCCTTTCACTCACTCACTATCTATCTATCTATCTATCTATCTATCTATCTATCTATCTCTCTCTCTCTCTCTCTATATATATATATATATATATATATATATATATATATATATATCACAGACACACACATATTTATGGGAGAGACGAGTGCTCAATATCGGAGACAGAGCGCTTATAGTTATAATAAACAGTGTGAACATAGGAATCAATACTGAATGTTATTTGCAAGTTTCAAGCGATCTTTAAGCAATATATATATATATATATATATATATATATATATATATATATATATATATATATATATATATAGTTTTAAGGTATGCTATATTTATGGGTTAAAGTACTCAATATCAGGGATAAAGTGTATGTAAATATAAAAATGGACATTGAAATCAACACATAAAGCCGACTGTCTGTTTCATTCTAAGCGCAATCGTCAGGCCATATGCCTTTTGTTTTTGCTCGACTATTTATATATACAGGTCAGTGATGCATTGTGGGTAATCTATTGTATTATTCTAACAGTTATTTTGATGGGCAGTAACCTTTATGTTTCGATTTATTCTCGGAGCTTTGGAGTGTGAATAATTGTTGAATACGGATACAGTTTTGGGGGTATTGTTCTATATCCTTTTTTTATTTATTATTGGTTATTTTTTAAACACAGCCCATATATATATATATATATATATATATATATATATATATATATATATATATTTCATTAAAGACGACTGGCAAGGTACATTTTAGTCACTTTTTCTTACATTCTTACAAGTGTTTTCTTTTCTGGACATAAAGTGTGTAAAAAGCTGTCCACTGTTTCTATATATCTGAATACTTTCAGCTATTCTATCAGCCATTATCAAGGATTTTTTTAACTGAATATTTAGATTTTCATACAGATGTGTATCTATAGTCATAGGATTTTTGTTTTTAATTTTCCAAATATTGTCAGCACGTTGTGGCCGTGTTGATAGCTGATATTACTGAGTGTTGGCCTTTTTTTTAATATTTATGCTTCCATTAATTTTAGCCTTTTTTACATGTAGATGAGGCTATTATGGTTGTATTCTCCACAAGTATGTTGCAAACGGAGGTTGGTAGATTTCTGTGTAAGTTTAAATCGGTTTTAATTGCGCTATGATCTGAGAGAAATACCTTGAGTCTTCTTCATAAGCATGTAGTGCTATGTCCAATATAATTAATTATTCATGAATTTGTTTTGATTAGGAACACAGTTCCTTAAAGGGCAATGTAAATTCATGAACAATATTAGTCCTCTTTAATTTGGATCTTAGAGGTGAGTTATTATTTTTAACTATAATGTTAGTTGTTTTAATTTTTTATAATAGATAATTAATTTAATTTTCTTGTTCTGGTCGAGTGGAGTTGTGTATTTCATTATGTTTCCAAGGGGAAATTCCTTCTGCTTATAATTAACGTGTATTTGATTTTTATAGAAAATATTGATATCATTATTTTTATCTGCATGTTCAGTTTTGCTGGTGTTTACTTTAGAAATAAATAATCTAATTTGTTTATCTATAAGATCGTTCGAAAACTGTTATTAACTACAGTCTGTTTCATGTTGTTGAGTTCTTTAAAGAATAACGGACCAGAGTCTGAATTCCCATGCGCTTACTTTAAGGAATTTTTTATGACGCCTATTTTATATCCAAGTGGACACTCACTCTTAAAATTAAGGTGTCAAGATTTTCTGCTTGTAAACTTTTTGTACAACGAAATGGTGAATGTGTTATTACTAGGCTCTACAAAAATAACTAAGAGTTAATTTTTTGTTCACAGGTAAATTTAAAAAGAGTTTTGGGGTTTTTTTTTTTCAAAAGTTGTTTTGAGATTATCAATTTCTTTTTTTTTATCTTCAGCTAAAATAAAAGTTGACATTTATTTTAAGTTGAGTAACTTTTAAAATACTTTGTTCTCGACATGGAACATGTAGTAATTTGAAAAGCACGGACTGAACGAATTTCTCATGCTACCTTCGTTAGCATGAGTATAAATATTGCCATTAGGGTCGTAGAAGGGGACATTAGTTGTTCAAGCATGCAGTAATTTCCTGAGAATATTAGGTTTTGATTTCCATCCCTATAGATACACATATACAAAACGCTCGGATATTTAGAATATTAGGGCAGTAAATACCCACCGTGTCTAGAAAAGAAAAACACTTGTACGAATGCAAGAGACATTGAATAAAATACTTGATCGCAGTACCTTGTCAGTCGTCTTTAATTTATGAAAGGAGTGCTGCCCACAATTATATATATATATATATATATATATATATATATATATATATATATATATATATATAAAATATTTAAATATATATTAAAATTTGTCTATATTTCTGAGATAAGGTATTATGTACACTATTTACATTATTCGGACTATTGTCCTCATCTTTGTCGCCATATTTATCACAACGTTTCGGTCGTTGTACGCTCCGACCTTCTTCAGGTGGTTGGAATGTTGAACTGAACCCTTTATTTCGCTTACTGGGGTAGACTGTTCTAGTTCCACGTGCCATGTCTAATGGATGCCAGTTATCTCCTGTTAATTCCTGTCTCAAAGTTCTCCACTGCCTTAACTCGGTTACTTACACTCTTTGGGCCCTGTCACTAGATTTAACTAACACCTTTATCCACAGTGGATAAAGTGGTAATATATATATATATATGTATATATATAGACATTAATTAAATTTTAACAAAATCTGTTCATACTCACGAATAACCTTCAGTTTACTGATATTAACTGATGAGAGAAATGTGCAATAACTGTTTAAATTTCTTTTATTTTCATTTTCCAAGTACTTTCGATTTTTTTCTAAAACAATCTTCTGGGGTGCTAATAGTACAAAACTATATGTTGTTCAGGAGTACAAGTATTTATATATATTTATGAATAGCAACGCACAGCTTTGTATAAATACTTGTACCAATGAACAACATATAATTTCGTACTACTTGTACCCTTGAAAATGATCTTAGAAGGAGATCGAATGTACTTTGGAAATAAAAATAAAAGAAATTACATTTTTCTCATGTTTTAATATAAATACACGGAACGTTAGTCGTGAGTATGGATGTATTTTGATAAAAATTAGTAGACATAATGTCTTTAATTTATATATGTATATATATATATATATATATATATATATATATATATATATATATATATATATATATATTAAACTTTTTCTATTTATAGGGTGGGGGCAATATCTACAAACGCTCTATCTCCACGAGGTTGTTTGTAGATATAGATAGATTACAATTAGCCTATATACCGCCAAATGTGTAAAACCAACAGTCACTATATCATGTTGATTTTAAATGTCGATACTCTGTACATCTATCTATCTACTTGTGTGTGTATATATATATATATATATATATATATATATATATATATATATATATATATATATTCATTGTTCATTTGTTTATTGCTCTTGTCTTTACTCTGAGTTATACGGAATTACATACACTATTCATGAGACTTGATTTTGATTATAAATTTTTTTCGTCAAGTTTCTAGAAGAATGGATGTCAGAGAGCACACAGTCACTAGGACCTAGATAGAAGTGCCTAGTCATACGTAAATAATACCTTAATTAGTAACAGATACTATGCTAATTTCGAAATAAATTCGTACTATTTTCCTTCGCTTTTCCTTGTTTTTTTTATGTTGAATAGGAAAAAGAAAAAGAGTAAAATTATTGTTTGAGGCTAAATATAATTTCAACAGAGACAATTCCAAAGTTATTCAAAAATAAACCTTATTTATTGACATTGAATAGCATTTTTTCGAATATAATTATTCAGTTGGTAGTAAGACGACTTCTAATATGAGATCCTCTGTTTCAAAAGAAGGGAGAAATAGTGAATAATACATTTATAAACACTAGTTATTTTATGTCAAGGTATATAATGTATATTTTTCGGAATGTTTTGTTTAGTGAAGTTGTCTTGTGGCTGGGAATTCATTATTTTATGATTAATTTCTTTGTGGTTTCCAATGTGAAATGAAGACTATCAACCGGTTAAATTATAATTGACTTTCTTGTTTTAAAAGTCTTTGGCGAAGAAAAATCAATACTATAAAGAAAACTGAGATTTAACTTCAACATCTTCAGAAGATGAATCAAGAGCATTTTTGTTTAAATAAAATTCAGTTCGAAGAGTAGAAAAACATAAAAAAATATCTCTGGCGATTTCAAAATGTCTGTTCGACAAATTTTGCTATTTTGTTCCAAATCAGATGTCGAGTTACATATTCGTTTTTTTTTTTTTTTTTTTTTTTTTTTGACTTTTCATTTCTAGTTGGTGTCGGCGCATTTCACCTCCTCAAGGGGCGATTACTACACTACCTGCCATCACTACCCTTCTTCCATTTTGTTGAATGACAATTTTCTATAAAACACGCTGTTTATTTTGTCAAATGTCATTTCATTAAAAACAGAGTTCTTTTCTTAAAGCTTTGTCGTCTCTCTCTCTCTCTTTCTCTCTCTCTTTCTCTCTCTCTTTCTCTCTCTCTCTCTCTCTCTCTCTCTCTCTTTCTCTCTTTCTCTCTCTCTCTCTCTCTCTCGCTCTCTCTACTACCATCAGTGTAAAATGTATCTATTGTTAAGCCCGTCGGTAAGGCAAAGTAACCCCTTGATAACCATCGAAAGATTTCAGAGTTATTTTTTTTTCTCGAAAAACAAATTATTTTAAACTTAGCATACAAAAATCTCATTCACAATTGCAAAAAAAAAGCATTTAATTTTTACTTTAATATTACAATTGGTAATTTTAAAAAAAAATCAAATTGGTCTATTTTGAACCAGAGGCTTGCGACAATCGAGCAATCAACAATAAAATAGCCACAGGTGACAAATGTTCGTATCCAAGCAAAGGCCATTCTGTTGATACTCTTAATCCCCATTAGATGACAGGCGTCGCACCATTTTTCAGAATGTGTGACCTTTCAAGTTTTGTATGTAGTTCTGTTCGGAAGAAATGTCAAAATGAAATTGTCAATAATGGAGATTTCACAGTAGGGAAAACAAGAGTGAATTTGATTTCCACGTCATGTTCAACTTCTGGTAAAAAACACTTTATCAAATGCTCATCACCAATGTATCTATCATTTTTTCATAGGTGTTGCTACGATTTTTTCCTCGCCTCGAAATTAGGTCAATATTATTAACTTGCGTGCTGAGTAAATGCTATATTTACACACGCAAAATGAATAGACATCTATGTATGTATTTCAATAATAATAATAATAATAATAATAATATATACTATACATGGCATGGCACTCTAATCTTAATTAACTGGGGGCGTTAACATGTACATGTTTTGTCTAGGTGAATTAAGACGAGTTACATTAAATACCCTCTTCAGTATCACATATTTGCTTGTCAGTTGCTTGATCTTAACCAGTTGGGTGTGTCCTCCAAGAGCTGAGTCACTGTTCAGCTCTGTTCATGAACAGGAGTAGTTGGGGGGGGGGGGGGTTGAGCATCAGATGTCGAGAAGGTTTTTTTTTTCCTTTAAGTCTAGAGAATGAGGCAGTCAAGGTAACTTAGGAATGATAGCTATATACTTGGGAACACCCTCAATTGGACACCACCCGAGTAGACTGAGTTAGTCGAAGTTATTTCTAGCTGACCTCACCGGCAATGTTATCCGCTGCTTTTATCAAAATCTATCGCCACATCGCGCACATTTGGCTGTGATGCATGTGCTTGCTATACCCTAATCAACATGAGTGTCATATCGACATATATTTGTACTCCAGCGTAATTTTGTTAACGTACCGCTGTCTCACTCGGTTACAAATAAATCCATTAAAATTAAATAAATACATAAACGATTAAAATTTTGTGTTACGACTTGTGGGGTAGGGTGCATAGTAACTGTGAGTTCAAACTCTGGGCAGGGGACTTAGACTCAGAGGAACCAGGACAAACAATAACTACGCAGTGACCAGTGTAACAAGAAACAATTTACAACACTAGATTAAATAAAGGGCTCAGTTCGAAAATTCCCTGAAGTTTACCAACATCAACAGAAAGGTGAGGACAAAACGTTGTTAATAATAACAATGAAGAAGCGGGCATTAGTTTGAATGTAAATAAAGTAAATGAAAATAAATAAATTTGCTCAATTAGCTACTGAAGCTTTCATAGAATTGTATCCACTCTTCAGGAGAAGGGAACTGGATTTTTTTTCAGAAATCGTATTTTTCCTTTTTATATAGTGTTCATATTTTTTTCTTTTTATATTGTTATTTATACATTTTTTTTCTTATATAATTCAGAGCTTCTAAAGAATTAATGGACTTATTTATAATCCGATATTTTTATTGTAATCAAACGTTATTATAGTGGATACTCGTATTTGAAATAAACGCTGGGGAACGCATTTTTCTTTACCATAATTTCTCAAAGTCATAGGTCGATAGATATAATATACACTGTTTAAGCAGTAAAATTTCAAATACGGAGTATTCATTATGATAACACTTGAAATAATAAACATTGACAGCTGAAGACAATAATAAGGAATGGAAAAGGAAAATTTTCGTTCAAAATTTGTTCTTGAAGAAACCTGAAAACAGTAGTACATTTGCGAGAAATCATCACTATGAAGTTCAGAATTGATTCTATCAACAACTCATTGAAAACTTAGGTTTAAAAAAAAACAAGTTTATCTGCATATAGCACCAAAACTGTTTATGTTAATAAAAACTAATTACCGTATTTGACGGTATGTAAGACGCACTTCTTTTACTAAAAAATATTTTTTAAAATTCACCTGCGTCTTATATGCCATATGTAGGTTTAAAATTCGCGATAATCAGTCAAAATTAGCTACCTGGCAATTCCTATTAGCTTAAACATGGGACTTGTGGATGACAATGCCTGATCACGACCTTACACTTACAGGAAGAATAAAAAGAGCCAACACTGCACAAACCTGCGAATGGGTGAAGCAAACTTGGGATAATATTAAACCAGAAATTGTTGCGAAATCTTTTTAAAAGTATGGAATTAGCAATGCTTTCAATGGAACGGAAGATGATGCATTATTTAACAGCGATGACAGACAGGTATCAGAGTTTTGACAGCGAAGACGACCAATTTTATGGATTTGAAGATAAATAAAATTTTAATGGTAACTGTATTGTTTTTCTCAATTGTAATAATTGCTTGATTTTTATTTTGTTTTCTTACCTTTGGATATAATAGAGTTTGTATAGGCTTGTGTTCTTTTTTTCCTATTATTTTTTCGTTTAATTGTAATCATGGGTTGTTTAACCAAAATAATACCTCATTAATATAGCCTAGGCTGTACTATTTACTAATCATTTTACTAATTACTAATTTTTCTTGATTTTTCCCTGTTGAAATTGTAGTGCGCCTTATACACCCGTGAGTCTTATATGCCGTCAAATACGGTAATTATATTTCACAGTTATATCAGAAGTGACCGCTTTCTTAGAAAAATATTTATCCAAATTTTTTTTCCGTATATTTTTTCATTATACAATTTCATATAAGAATTGATCGATTTTCTGCTGACTTGTATGTGTTGTATCTCTTCAGAATGTGGTTTACTATGACTCTCAATATCATTTGTAGCTCTTAACGATATTTGTCTTTGTCTCTTCCACGCCCTTTTCTGATATCCATTTAGCCAAGCTTTTTCCGTAGGCTATTTTCATCTTGTCTTCATTAGGCCTTGCTTTCATTATACCTCAAATTTTCAAAGCCTTCTTTCTCTTATTATGTATCATAGAAACTTCAACTCTCTTTCTGATTCTAAGTGTAAGCATCTTTTTTTGTTCCTATAGTCCTCTCCATCCTTCTTATAGAACCACATCTCATTTGCCTCACCCTCTCCTCTACATCCGTGAGAAAATTGACCCACATTCACTTTCATATAGGAAGATTCATTTTCATAGAAGTCCAGCACTCTTTTCTTTGTTTTCATTGAAATTTTCCTGTTTCTTATTAATTTGTTTAGTTTTTTAAAGTCATCTTTTCATATTACAGTGCGCTTTTGGATTTTGGTGCGATTTCATTTAGTTTCAAGTTCTTCAATTTTGATTTCGGCAGCCGTATTTTCAGATGTTTCACCTTCGTTTTCAGCTTTCATCAAATGCACATTTGTCGTATTATGCTGGAAAAGGCTTTGCACTCAATTACACACCAGACCAATGAAACCAGGTGGGGTTTTGAACTGAGATGACCCCAAACGGTGAAAACCTGTAAGTATGACGGCGCCTGGCATGTGCGTGTATGAGAAAACAATTTAACGGATGTATTTATAAATAACTGCTCCAGGCCGGGGGGGGGGAACAGTGGAGTAATGGATTGAGGAATTGGAGAGTCGAATTCCAGTCGGATCCATTACATTCACTTACGTGCTAATACCCTTATGAATCCTCCTCTTCTCCTCCCTGCTATGGGTAAAAAGCAGGATAGACCGGGTTCTATAGGCTTGGATGACAACTGGTCAACCCCAGAAAGAAATGGCAACCTACTGTAGGAAAAAATCTGCCTTGTCAGTCATGTATTGAAAGATACATGATCGTCTCTGCGTGTATCGTACATGGTACATAACTAACTGCTCCAGAGAGGCGTTCGGAACCCTTTCATACATCGCAAACGGAGAATATAAAGACGACAGTTCTTTGTCCACACTGTCTATATCTATATACTCCGATATTGAGTACTCTTCAACTACAGATATAACGAATATAAAACATATTTATACATATATATATATATATATATATATATATATATATATATATATATATATATATATATGAAAATTATAGTTTCAAGGTATGCTATGTTATGTGTAAAATTGCTTAATATCAGAGATAGAATGAATGTAATTATAAAAGTGGACACTGTGGTTAGGTCAAGGCCGGATGATGGCGAGAACTCATGGCCTGGATATTGCATTCGAGCATGAAATAGACTTTCTCCACCAGGTTTTAACCTCAGTTTTCATATATCGACTTTTCCAGAAATTTTTATAACATATCTCACGATAACTACTCGTATTTTCTGCCATTTTCCAAAAATATTTAAGGATGACTAAATTCAACATGTCTAGAAATTTACAGAAATATTTCACCGTAACTGAGTAAATTACACTTGTGAAAAATGGTTGCAGTTTTCCAAAAGACTTACTTACCTGAATATCGGAATTTGCAGCAAATTTTGCAGCAAATTTTCCTTCTGCAATAAATAATATTTCTTCTCCCTCTACCCGCTACTCAAAGCATAGGTCAAGATCTACCTGTTGATCATACAATGTTACTGTGAGATTTGTTCTAAAATTCTCTGACCTCGTTTTGTTTTTCTTCTTGCTGACTGCCGTACTCAATACGGCATTAATCGGTTTTTATAGACTGCTTCGTCGAGGCAAGTTGAGTGGATTCAATTAAAGCTATCTTCTGAAATGTATTTTTCTTTATGTTTATAAAGAGTTTGTTAGTCTGGCTGTTTATCATTATTTTCACAGCCTTTGAGGCCAGACACCTTTCAATCTAATCTATCTTTCATCTTTCTATTTTTTTCTCGTTCATTCTTCAATTCTTGCATCACTTCCTAAAGGACT